ACATTGGAGGCATTATCAAATCATTCACGAGCACTGGAAGACCAGAAGTGGATTCTANAGTTCCATAGGGTTCTCGCCTGGGGTCTCAACAAGGGGCTCATTCGAAAGTGGGTTCTCTGAATCAGGCGCTTGTAGAGTACACTTATAGGGGAATTTTGCTGGGCCGCTGAGGGACAGTTCTACTGGGTTCTCTGAATTGGGCGCTTGTAAAGTACACTTAAGAGGTTGGTTCTTTGGGCCCAATGATAGTTCGGATTTATCAATAGGGACTGTAGCTTCACTTAATGCTTTCACCTCGGATTTATCACTGGCTAAAGGATCACTTAGAGCGCCAGCTTTGGTGCTGGATCATCTGGATCAKTTAAGGAGTCTGCTTTTGGTGTAGGATCACTTAAGGGAGTACCGACTTGATCAAGTAACATAGGTGCGGGATCGGAATCCTCCTCCGCCCCGGTGAGCTTTGTTTTCTTTTTCTGCTGGTGAAGGGTGCTGTCCTCGCTGCTGGAATCTGAGAGTGTTGGCCATGAAGCTGCCCAAGAAGGCCAGCTGGTCCGGAGGCCAGGAACTTGTCGGGGAGGGGGTCCAGCAACTGAAGAATCATCCGAAGATTCATCCGGAGATTCATCCAGAGACTCATCCATCGATTCAACCGGAGACGATTCATCCCCATCCGGAGACTCCTCATCCGGAGACTCCTTAGCCGGGGACTCCACCGGAGACTCATCCGGAGACCATTCCTCCAGAGATGATGGTGGCGGAGACAACGATTGATCTTCTGTAGTAGACATCGATGCATCTTCCTCCTGGGACGCATCCGTTGTCGGTGTTGGCGTGTGAATATTTTTGTTTGCTTTTTCTTTATTTTCGTAGTTYAGTGTACATGAATATGAATGTGCATGGGTGTCGGGACATGCAAAGGTAATGGAGGTAGGCTGCTTGTTCTTGGGGCCCTGAGCCCATGGGCGGCCTTTAGCAGCCCTGGCGTAGGCTCTGCAAACTGCTGTTTGAAGGACTTTCTTGGGATTTCTGTTCCTCGGACTGATAACATCAACCACCTCAACTGACGAGTCCTCATCGTCGGAGCCGCTGTCGAGGAGGTCCCAAGGAGGCTTAGGCTCCCCCTTGGTAGCTGGTGTAACCTTGGTTGGGTCCGTGGCCTTGGGGTCGTAGCGTGGAAAGGCCGGGGCCATTTCCAGACCTCTGACCTTGGAGCCATGCTTCTTGAAAAGCTTAGCAGTGGATCCTTGTGGGGATAGATCAGTGTCCTAGGTGAGATCCCTGTCCGATGTACTGGGTTCGAGATTGGTGGGGACGTTGGGATCGGGGGGGGACCACTTCCATTGCAGTGATCTTGGATCCGGCGAAAAGAGGAGTACTGGGTTTGAATGGAGCCGGAGGCCCCTGGAATGGAGCTGGGAGCTCCTTGAAAGGCTTGGTGTGTCCCTGGGGGGAYGRGGGATCCTTAGTTGGATCCGGAGGGTCCTTGTTAGTTGGATCCGGAGGGTCCTTGTTACCCTTTGGGTCGGGCTCGGTCATGGTTCCTGAAAGTTGGAAGGTGCGAGTCTGAGTTGTAGAAGTGGATTCTATAACAGAGCTAGAGTAAGTTGAATCATCCCCCGGTACTAATAGTAGTGACGAGATGACTCCCTGCTGGCTGTTGCTGCCCGCCCCCCACGATGACCCCTCCTGCTAATCTCATCTTCTTCTGCCACCACTTGCTTCTTCGAAAAGAGACTGGCTTTATTAGCAGAGGAACTCTTCGAAATTCCATCATTCCAACCACAAGAGCCTTTTGTTGAAGGTATCCCACAAACACCATYGTCGAGTGCTGCTGCTGCTTGTTCCTCAGCTGCAAGTTTTGTATCACCTCAGCYGGCACCAACACCTACACCTTTGAAGAAGAGGAAGAAGGTCTTCTTTTCACCTGACAACTTCTACACGCCATCACCAAGAAAGAAGAAAGCAACAARCATCATGCCTGTGAGTGCATGCTCCTCAGCTTCTGGGAAGAAAGCTCCTYGTCCTCCATCTATGAAAGGAGGAGAATCTGGCAACRCAACTGGTAGGACAATTCAGATGTCCGACTTRATTGATGCTGCTGGCAGGCTCAATCTTGAGGACTGCAGCCATGTCCAGATACTTGGAAGTGCTTATCCAACAATCATTGGAACTTGGGACAACCAGGACACGGACAGTGATTCGGAGGAAGAGTATGTCAATAATGTCTACACTATGATCGGAATGATGATGCACAATGCAATCGATTCCTCACTCATTGTGCCACGTTGGATCAATCCTTACAACCTTCACCTAACTATCTGCTGGCCCAAGTGGTTCAARAAGCTGTCAAGGCATGTTGCTATCCAGAATGGACAGAAGCACCAGTTCAACAAGGACCACAGTGTGATCCGSACCATGAGAAGATACCTCYGTAAACTGTACAAGAAGGACAACAATGGTCAACCTCTCAAGGACAGGATCATCGAGGACTCGATTACCATCCAGTTCAAAACTGCAATGAATACAGATAAGGATTTGGTTGAAATGGAAGTTGTGGATGTTCAGGTTACCGAAGAAGATCTTGATACTGCTGCAGGCGAGGTCCTTCCACCTGATGGAGTAATCAAGGTACTGCAGATTATTGCTGAAGCACAGATTGAAGACAAGAAGAAGGTGAATCAGCAAATTCAAGTTGGTGATAGGAAAGCTGCACTAGGTAAGGAACCAAGTGGTATGTGATTTGACAAGGAGGAGCCAGCAGGAGGAGGCAACAATGAAGACGGAATCATCCCTCTGGGTGTTGCTGGTACTCCTCCTGCTGAGGATATGGATACTAGTACAGGAGGCCGCAGCCGTAAAAGAACAAGAACAACTCACCCCCGCAAACATATTATTGATCCATGATCTTCATCTACTGCTGTAGGCAAAAATATAACAAGCAACAACGTCGCCAACRACAATGAAGACTTGTGACTAGTAGGAGGAGGATCCCTGTTTTACTCTGTTGATGACTCAATTGAATCAAACCAAGAGCTTGATCCAATTGGTACAATGATGCAGGATCTTGTTGAGTTAGAATCAGAGCTATCAAAGTTTTAGTAATCCAGCAGTAGTAGTGTTTGACACGGAAGCTGGAAAAATATTCATAGTAGTAGTAGTAATGTAACGACAATTAGTACAATAAAGTTYGTAAAAGAATAACATTGCTGTGGCTAAAAATACTAAGTATCTAATAGTCTGAATACGTGTATTTTGACAGCAATCCTTATTGCTYGCTCAATATCGTACATTGTAATCCACTTGATACATTCCCTCTCCATGTTCTAGTTTCAGCTGYGTAATTACAGCAACAGCTCCAAAACACATTCCATGCTTCCCTATCATTCCATCTCTATCTCTCCCTTCAGTATGATGAAAGGATCCATTCAAAACATTGAAAATCTTTAGTCTTCTATTGATATTTTCATGCCTTCCCCTGACAACAGACTTTTGTTTTCTTTGCTTCCTATCAATCCCCTGCCCTGGTGTCTTGGCCTTCTGTGTACCCCGCAAGCYGCTATCAGCCTCAAMGCATTCCCACTCTTCCAACTGATTAGCGAGATCACTATCAAAGATTCCTTTCTCCRAAGTACCCRCAGGAAAAGGTCCGTTAATCCAAACAATATGAGCTGTTTCCATGCAAATTGCAACTTCATACCGGATGGCAGGTCCATTGAAATTCTCTGAATACATGTCAGWTGAGAAAGGATGAGGTTCATAGCATGGACAGTCCAACCAATCCACCGATACCATACATTCTGCTGCTGGCAAGTATTCTCCTGTTGCTGATTGAGGTTGTCCAAGAAATCCGTTCTCCCATACAATGACTTCCTCTTGGAGCTCAAAGATCTTTCTTACAAAATACCATGACCACTTTCTAAATGTATCACTATGCGGCCACCCAACTATCGCACAATGAACTTCTTCGGATTTGGCATACACTTTAAGGAATAGCAGTGCCCAAAGGAGGTGTTTCGGTTCGGCACCTCGTCCGGAAGATTTGTCTCCAAGCAGAGCTGGCTCAATCCGGTTCCATAAATCAGCAACGACTACACTAGATGCACCAAACAAGCTCACAATCTGTTTTGCTTTGTTTGTTTCCCACACGCRATTGGAAGGCCATTGAATTATTTCTTTTACCTTGTCGTTGTCTTCAATGGCAGCAGCATCCAGCATTCTTCTTGGTGCTGTCTTTCGTTGCTGGTGCTGCTGTGCTAGTTTTTATGCTGYTTTTTGCTGTTTGTTGTTTGCCACTAGCATAGTACGTACGATGGATCATGTTGTTGCTGCTGCTTCTGCTGCTGCTGGTGTAGTACCGGTACTGGTAGAATTACTACTAGTAGTAGTACTAGCACTAATATTGTCAGGAGTACTCCTACTAGACTAACAACAAGAATGCAGAATCTGAGTAATTAATTAAATTAATTAACTTAATTAGTACTCAKATTAATTACTCTGGTTCTCCTTATTAATTAACTTTTTTTTAGTGTTCCCCAAAAAGTCAGTTACTTATTCCCCCAAATATGGCGAATCGTTTGTTAAATAGATTACCGTTAAACCCTATTCTCTACTGTTATGAATGCGCATTTCGCGCGATCCATAGAAAAAATCACCTTTCGTGGGCTCTCCTGGTGAAAATCATGGAAACTGAAAAAAATTCCAAAAATGCAAAATGCACGATTTGGGCGAGACAGGAAAAAGTTGATAGTCGTTGAGCCAGAAAACGGGGCATAGATGGTATTTTCATTAATTTTTGAGAGTGCGACACTGCCTAAAACTGTGCGTTTTATCGTATTTACTCATAGTCGTACGGTTATCTCCGCTAGACAACAACATCTTTTTCTACGTATCATTCCGTACGTATTCTTTCACGTTACTCTARTATCTACTGTAGTATCGAACGGAACTACTGTACCARAGTCAAACTAAACTACGTAAAGTACTGTAAGATACAAATATCGCGCTCAACACAGTTTCATGCAACCTTCTGATCTATCGGTACTGCTCATACATTATCAAAGCACCATACAATAATCTAAACTGCTTGTAAMCATGGCCGTCACATTACAGCAACGATTAGACGCTGCGAAAAAAGAGGTATGTCGCACGTGCAGTAGCTTTCAGAGAAAAAATGGATGGAGATTTGTGCTGTTACTTTTATTTACGGTTCAACGAAGAGAAACGATTGGGTTAGTGCGTGCAGTTCATCTGCCAGTGAATATTTTCCTATTCTCTTTTTGACAGCATCACTGTGATTGATTCTGGACATTTGGGAAACGAATTTGAGCTAGAGAAAAGATTCGTGAACACGGCAACACAATGCTTCCGGGCGTTCAATATTGCAAAACAAATAATGAACGTCTGTGGACGAACAGAATGAGCAAGGAAGTTGATCATGAAATGGAGCCCTGCAATGTCACGGTGTTAAATCATGTGACATAGTATACAAGACGGTTATATGCATGCGGTAGACTGTGTTTAATTGCTTTCGTGTGTTCTGTCCGAAAGAGACGCGGAAAGAGGTCCGAACCTGAAAGAGTCATATGAAAATTGGAATCCACTGGCTCGATATCTTGCTAAGGATGGAGTTATACATCAATCCATCGGGGGATGACAGGGTATGGCGTTTGCTGAAATCAATCCGCTAACTAGGCCACAGACTTGCCAAATCAACAAACATTGCTGTTGAAAATCTTGAGAAGTGTCAAGTCACCGCTAACTTTACTTTCATGTTGTTTGTTTCACAGATTGCCTCTCTGAACGCCAAGATCGAAAATACTCTCCAAAGTAAGAGCGATGGAACTCTGGTTGCCGCCGCGAAAGAGGTAACTTTAGCACCCATCCGTGGGCCACCCTCCAAAGTGAAATGCCGCCGAACTCTCAAGGGTCACTTTGGAAAGATCACAGCACTCGATTGGAGCACCGACGGAACCACAGTGGTGTCAGCCAGTCAGGATGGAAATCTCCTACTTTGGGATGCGTTGACAACCTCAAAGAAGATGGACATTCGTTTAAAGTCGGCGTATGTCATGAGTGTGTGCATGGATAAAAGTGGCCAGTATGTTGCCGCCGGTGGCTTGGACAATGCCTGCTCGATCTACAGTGTCGGTGGCACAGATCAAGCGCAGCTGAAGACAGAACTGGTCAGTCACGAAGGATATTTAGCCGACTGCAAATTTTTTCATTCTCCGTCTAAAATGCTGACAGCGAGTGCGGACGCCACCGCTCTTTTGTGGGACGTCGAAAAGGGCCAAATTATCGACACATTTCAAGAACACAAGTCCAACCTCACGGAGATTCAATTGGTAGAGCAGGACATGTATTTGTCGTGCAGTACTGATATGACCATCAAGCTATGGGACGTGCGCTGTGCGAAGGAGGGGAGCGTCCAGACCTTCACTGGTCACGCAGGGGATGTCAACGGCATTACTATGCTCCCGAACACTGAGGGTGCCTTTTCCTCCTGCTCGGAAGATGGAACTGCCCGTATCTGGGACATTCGTTCTTATGGAGAGGTTGCATCTTTCGGACAACTCGTTCAACAATCCGAACGGGATCCCTTCTCGGATGACGATGCAGGCTTTACCTCCATCTCGGCCTCCTACAGTGGACGCCTGGTCTTTTGCGGTCACTCAGAAGGCTCGGTCTGGTGCTACGATATTTTTTCAGGAAACAAAAACCCAGCGTACATTCTTGGAAACGTTCACGAGGAACACATTTCTTGTGTAAAAGTATCACCTGTCGGAGAAGTCCTCTGTACTGGATCGTGGGACTTTAACCTCAAGCTTTTTGCTTAGAAGACGAACTAACCAACAACGCAGATGGATTTCTACTTCTCTAAATGCACACACTTGCTATAGCGACCCTCGGAAAGTAGACTCGTTCTGCGGAGCAATGGAAGCCACGTCCCGAATTTACTATACAAGAGAAGAATGACAAGAAAGAGCAATGCGGAATGTCAAAAATGACGTAGTCAAAAAGAAAAGAACCACGGGACGAATTTTGAGCGGCGCCCCGATAGAATCCTAGAGAATTCCTTGATTCGGAACTACGATACCAATTCCTCCGTGCTGAATTCGAAAGCTTGTAAATTATTGCATTTTGACATTACCTTGAAATATAACCATTCGACAATTGTAAAATCAAGTTTTTGTGTATACAGCTGATTCATCTTCCAATTTATTTTTTCAACCAAAATATCGGTACTGTAGACCAAACCAGGATGTCTAAATTGACATCCAATGATAACAATTTAACCGTGCATGTCGACCAGACCGCTCGGAGCGGTGATAATACTACCAAACGGATACAATGAGYGTTAACGATTGTGTCATATCAACTAGGCCATTCAGAAAAAATCTTAATATTGTGTTTCACCTCATGAACTAGAAGAGGCACTCCATGGCCAGAACCAGAACTTGGGGTGTGAACAATGCTCCTAGCTGCTCTGAGGGGTGGCTCCCCCCTCAGAGGAGTGGGTGTAGTAGCACGACCAGGGTTGTTTGTGGCTGGTTAATAAATTGAAAAATTGGGTCATAGTAGTTTGGATAGTCCAGTTTGTAACAGCAGATTCCAGGGGAGTCCCTGGCAAAGCAGACATTTTGTGTCATTTCTTCTTGGAGTATGTGTTAAAGACCAGCCCATCTTGTGTGATTATCTCTGGTGGTTGTTTACTACAAAGCAGAGGTGAAAAGTACTGTGTGATAGGTTGCTTGTTGGAAGCAGAGGTGAGAGATGTTTTGCAGATGCTCTCATAAATAGTTTTCTTGTAGACTCATTGGTACTAGGAGAACAGATAGGTAGGTGCATCAGATATGAATGTTTCCATATAAGTAAGCGCTAGACAGACACATCTGTGGTTTGAGAGCAAACTTATTGTGGACTCTGTTATAATTCACTGTTGATGCTGTGCTTMTTTCTGACAAAGAGTGAAGCCATGGAGGTCCTTATTTCTCTGTTTCCGCAATGAGATGTACTAAGAGGTAAGGAAGAAATCCACAAGATAATCCGCTAGCACAGGTGGGGAGTGAGAGCTGGAGTGAAGGTCAAAGTCATTGATCCACTAAACTGAAATGTGGCCAGCAAACAAATGGTGCCATCCAATCTTGCTCTGGAAATGAATAGCTGGGTGGAGAGACTTAGGATATTTCTCTGGTAAACATTGCCAGTATCCAGCCATTTGGTAAGACAGCTGGGAAGAGTGCTGTCAGTGGCAATCAATCTGTAGCCCAGGGTGGACATCCATTGCCTCAGTGAGGTAAGTGTCTGTTGCTGCCATCTGAGTTGTCATGGATGGGAACATTGAAAGAGATGCTCAGAATCTTCAGGAGATGAGCAAAGACAATAAGTGTCCTGTGCTTGTTAGTCCCACCATTTGAGGACAGTGGCAGTGGGCAGAATGGGATTGAAGCATTTAGTGATCAGAACATTCCTAGAGGTGTGATTGATGGCTATCCCCAGTGACTTCCAGGCAATATCAGCAAGGACATGCAATGGCCACTGGTTCCTATCTGCCAAGTATGCATGATAATGTGGAACGAGACAAAACTCAGTGAGAGCTCTTTTGTATTGGCTTGTTACTGAGCATGATTGATTCTGAAGGACTGCTGGGCATGAAGGTAAAACTGGTGTGAAAGAATTAGGCATTGTCATCTGAGCTTGAAAAGTGCCAGCATAATAATCAGCTTCAACATTCAGCTGACTGTCAAAGGGAATTTGTCAAAATCTGTTGCATCATCTTGGTGGCCATTGACCCAAGTGAAGGAAAGAGTAATATGTGATGATTGGATGGTTTGAAAAATCTGTGGGAACAGCAAAATAATTACCATTGTGACTACACTCTTTCTCAGAAACAAGCACAGCATTGACATTGGATTACAAAAAAGTCTGCAATCTGTTTGTCCTGCAACCACAATCTGTTTTGTGTGATGAGGTTGTTGATGGGGAAATAAGGTTCAAAGCATACTAGGCATTTGTTCCCCCTCCAACTTGAGGAGAAAATGGAGGTGAAGAAACTTGATATGTTTTCAGGAAGGTAGGTGCACAAGCAACAACCCAAGGTTCAGAATATTTTGATTTATGCTTTGGAAAGAAGAACATGAATGATCTTTGAAGATAGAACACCTTCAAAGGCAGTACATGATGTAGTGAAGTTTGAAATATTATTTTCTGAAAAATCAACAGTTGGGGGAAAATGCTGTGGTGCAAGCAGTACTCCTCTTACCACCATCACATTGCAGAGAGTGCAATAGTATTATTAGTTTCTGTTTTTGCGGGGCAAGCCCCTACCTTGTTGTGAATGCACCATAATCAGCACATGCTCAAGACTACTATTGGGCAAGGTACCAGGATGCAGCTGTTTGGGGTCAGGAAGGAGCCGTGTGAGCTGTGCTTGCATTAATCAGTGCAAGAATAGGCAACAACAGATATCAGCAACAATCAACGTTGCTGCTGCTTGCAGAGGTATCAGATCCTTCTTCTGGAAACCCTCTCTGCCCCTCTTCCCCATCAACGCTCTGGAAATGAACCCTTTCTGACTGGTGCAGACCCAGCAGCGTTTGGCCCCCCTCCAGGGGCTCCCAGACAAGGGGAGTGCAACAACAGAAACAACAACAAAAACAACAACAACATCGATGCACCACAGACCCAGGACTCAGTGACAGAACGTGAGGTTACAGTGGATCTGAAATGGGCAAAGAACAAGGGCATCACCAATGTACACATCCACTGGTGCCATGGATGCCATACTTCAAGACATCCCCCCCCCCCCCAAGGTGCATCTATTTCATTGGAGGAGGGTGAATATTTGGAATTGCAGGATTCATATGATTCAACACCCAAAGCAGCACGTTGCGTTGCAACAACTGCTGATGCAGAAGATTTGGTGGATCCTATTGCTCCAGTTGGACCAACCACTGCAATGATTAACGCAACCAATGCTTCTGAGGAGGCTGCAGTGCCTCCAACCATGGACGCAGAGGTTCCGGATCCRGATAAGGCCCCAAATGTGGCTGATTCTCCTGCTCTGGATGCACCRACTACTGCAATGCCCACAGCAGCTAGCGCTGCTGGGGACACTGCAGTGATTCATTCACCCAAAGCTTCCCCTGTGGGCAAAAATAGAGCTTTGGTGGCTTGCTCGGCGTCAAAGTGGAGTCAAATGTGCCCTCCGCACCTTGGCGTCTGTGATTTGATTTAAGGGCTTGAGCACTGTGAAGTGAACACCAACAGCATCAGAAGAAAAGGAATGAGGCCCCTCATCATCCCAAAGCCAAAGTTAGGACAGTGGCAGAGGTCCAAGTACTGCATGCCAAGAGAACGGCTCAGGGGGCTCTCCCACAACGCTGTGCACTGACACCACAGGCATTGGACTTGCCACCTCTGGCCCATGTCACCACAATCAGGCCAGATCTTCCAGTTCCGGATGAAGATGCCGWTCTCCCTGGCTACAAACTCACAGCAGCTGATACCATGTTGGACAAAATTTACAAAGATCACATTCGCAGCAACCCAGGGACTCACCTTACTGGCAGCAAAGCCAATGATGCTCTCTGGCAATGCCACTGRAAAAAGATTGTCAACATTAGGACRAGCTGGTACCTTGTCCCCCAGAATCGGGTGGGGAAACTGTTCCTTCAAAGGTTCTGCTACAAGCTGCAAGGAGTACGTTTGCGAGAATGGAATTCGGAACATCCCCTAGTCTTTGTGGCCAGTGATCTTGCAGGAAGCCCACGGCGTGAAAAAGGCCAGTGATATCCAATACTTGATCAAAGAACAGATCAAGCATTGGGACACTGGTCAGTACGGACCCCTCCTTGATGACCTTGTGGCTCAGGCCTGTTTTTGAGATGGACCTGTCTCCCACAAAACAGATTAGGAAGCTTATTGCTCCTTCAATGACAAGCTTCCTTTGGGCCGGATCCATGTGCCATGTTGAAATCTCACCAAGAGAGATGGTAGAGGAGTATT